TGTAGATGATTTGGAAGAGTCATTTGAAGATGAAATACTTCACTTCAAAGAATATTTGTTAGCTGATACGTACTTGCAACAGAATGAGATAGAACTGAAATGTAGCATAGAGCTGTATATGTATCGGGCTTTGAGAAACAGCAGTGCACTACAAGATATATTTCCAAATGTTGCCACAACACTTCACATATACCTCAGTTTGATGATCACCAACTGCAGTGATGAAAGATCATTCTCTACATTGAAACGGATAAAAAAACTATCTGCGAAGTGCTTTGGGTGATGACAAACTGAATTCCCTTACTGTTATGTGTACAGAATCTGACATCCTAAGAAGCTGTGACTTCAATGAAATTTTATCAGACTTTGTTAAACGAAAATGCAGAAAAATGAATTTTTGATCGTGTTGTTTTTTTCTTTGGGTCAGCCATTTATAAAATAAAAACTAGTATCTAATATACCTGATAATTTGTTTGTAATTTTGAAATAAAATTAGATTTTATTATAGATATTATTATTATAAATAAAATTAAAATTGTACTTTTTGACGTATTTTTTAGAAAAATATAGGTATATAGGGCCCATGAATTAGTTAAGCCTATAGGCCCATAATTTGATAATCCGCCACTGAATCTGCAAAACAATGTAACAATTTTTTTTATTAAAAAGCGTCGCATGTTTTATATAAAATTAAAAATTAAAAGTTATTTATATTATTTATATTAAATTTGCTGTAAGGCCAATAAAATGTATTAGGCAAATGAATATTTGGTCTGACATACGAATCAATTGTAAAAATAGATTTGAATTTTATAATATTTTTAAGCAACAAAAAACTAATCTTAAAAATGGTTTGATACAAAACCTGTTCTACGATAGTAATATTCTGCCACAGTAGTTCTCTCATGTTGCCACCATAGTCGCATGACGAAATTCTGATTTAAAGTTTATCGTTATCGTTTTCTTTAGCACTTTCATCCACTTTTACACTAATTTTATAAATTAAAAAAACATTTAAAAATATAATAAACTATAGCATATGTATTTACAAAGTATAGATAAAAATATTTATTGATAATATTATTTAGGGCATACTATGCAGTGTGCTATTCCAGGCCATATTTTGCATATAACTAACAAACACTAGGCAAACAAAAACACACGTACAAATCACAAGCTAACTCAATACAGTATATAAATCGATATACGTGTTATAACTCAGATAACCATAGCCAGATTGAAGTAAAGGCCCAGAGCAGGACAATTACAAAAATGACATAAATAAAAGATAAGCTAAACATAAAACAAACAATAAAAAACAAAAATACATACTGGAGAAATGAAGTCTCAATATAAAATCATGAATAACAGTGCTTCAACTTCTTCAGTTGCCATCATCTTTTTTTAAAGTTTCTTCAGTTTTTCTTTTTAACAGGCATCCAGGACTCTAAAACATTGTTACTTTACGGTAAATGTTTGATGTTATTAATTAGGCATGACATAAATAGACTTGTAAACAACAATAATTTAACATGATACTATGTTATCATTTAAAATTCAAAGTCTTGACTCAAGTTAACTTGACAAAAAATTATTATTTAATTTCATGTTGTTTTTAAGATACGTTTTGTGATTATTTAATAAATTTATTTCACAGCAGATTCTAAAAAATATACAACACCCTAATAAATTGCTTTAAAAAATCATTACTACATTGTGACAATAGCAGCAATAAAAATAAAAACAAACTACCATTGAGGTACCAAATGTAGTTTATTTGAAAAATCCTTTAAATGTATATTCATTCCAAATCATGTCACACTATTATAGCTTTGTAAAACCTTTTTATCATATATATTCATGAACTTTTGATGAAAATAATGTAAATCAAACTAATCTTGATTTTAAAATATGTACTATCGTAATAACATTCACATTTCGTAGCAATTCACAGTCTATTTCTATTCACAGAACATATCCATTCACAGAAGCCCAGTCAATAATAGGAAAAACCTGTATATTTTGCAAATTCTCTATATTTTTAATATACAGAAATTTATTAATATACCGAAATTTTTTTTTTTTAATTTTATTAAACTCTGTAAACTAATAGTTTGAGATATTAAAACTCGAGGAAAGTAAAACTTTCCTGAACTTTCTGAAACAAAAATATTTAAAATGTTGTCAGATAAAGTGATAATTTACTAGTTTTAGACGAACTATTTCATTGGAGATTTTACATAACTTTTATGTGTAAAAAACTAACATTTGATGAAGTAATGTATTTTCTGTTGTTAATCATAAATCAACACAAATCAACTTTAAAAACAAAACATAGATACTATTAAACCTCTTAAATAAATTTAATAAAAAAAAAATTTTTTTTTTTTTTTTTTAAATAACAATTTTCTATTTTTTTATTCAAAAATAAAAAAAAATAAAAAATATATTACCAAAAAAACTTGAAATCTTTTTTATAACTTTGTGAATAAACAAAAATGTCTGAATATTGCTATCAAAATATATACACTTTTATTTTTTAAAGAATTTTAAAAATGTACTTAATAAACAAATATATTCAAACCGCCCCCCCCCCCTAAAAGTGTGACAATTTGCGAACGACCCCTGATAACTTTTGTTATTAGGTATCGTTCCATGCAACAAATATTTAGCTTGCTGTTGTTGTTTTTTTTTTTTTTTTTTTTTTTTTTTTGTAAAATTGTTTGTTAAATGAATGTCTAAATATTGCTATTAAAATATTTATACTTTTATTATAGAATTAAAACTAATATGTAATTAATTATTTTTTACCAAAATACTAAAAATGAACATAATTAAGTTTCTGTTCACTCCAAATGCAAGTGTATATTTTATCCAAATCAAGTTGCGTTACTGTATGTTAATTTTAGAAGATTTTATCATATTTTCAACCATAATTTTGCCCTAATTGTCGCACCATGTGGAACCCATCTTTTACCCTGGGAGCTGTCTGTTTTGGAGTGTTGGCCTAAAATGAAAATTGCTTGCTATAATTATGGTCTTGCACGGAAATTAAGACCATAATTATGGTCTAGCATGGAAATGCTCATCCCGGCATAAAGAAGGCTAGTATTCTGAAAAAAGTAAATAGTCTATGGAATACATTAAAGGAAGAGAAACTCAAGCATAAGAATCTTGAATTAATTCATTCAATAAAAAGGAAGCAATGAAGTTCAAGAGCAATGGTTAACTTAAGTTAAGCATTGGGGCTTTCTCCATATATTGATTCATCAGTATTGTTTACTGACAATTTTAATTGCAAACAAAATAATGATTTTGCTGCTCTCAGCGCACGCGGTTTAAAACAATTTCTTCAAGCCACTTAGGAGCAATTAGCGTTTCGTATTTGCAATAATGACTTTAGAGTTTTTATTGCATCACGTTTTACAAGCCACTCGAGAGCAATTAGAGTTTTGTATTTAAATGACAATTGTATTTGAACTAATGACAAATGACTTTTTTGTTTGCTAGCAAACACATTAAGTTATTTGCTAGCAAACACATTAAGTTTTTTGTCCCATCAGAATTTTTTGAAACAAGAATCACCATTTACCCCAATAGGTGATGTGTTTTTTTTTTAGTTTACATATCTGAATTTTAATGCTTAATGTTATTTTTAATGGTTCGGGCAGAATCATTTAAATTAAAAAATTTATTTTTTTGATCAAAACAAGTTTGTAAAGAATTAAAACGCTTCGGTGAATTAAAAAAAAAAAAAAAAAAAACATTGAGAAGCTTTATTGCTTGTTATGCACAGCGAATAAAATTGTTATGAACAACAAATAATTAAAAAAAAAAAGAAAAAATTAAAACTTTAAAATCATGAGATTTTATTTTTGATTATCATTAATGCTTCTGTATTCTTGAAAAAGTAACAACAATAATTAAAAAAAGAAAACATTCTTACTGTAGTCCACATTTTTACTTAGCTCATCCATACGACCTTGTTAGTCATCACAAAATATATATTTTTAAATATTAATTACTATTGAATTTATTACTATTTATTTTATTATTACTATTATTATACTATTAATTTATTGATATTGAATAAAAAAATATTACTATTGAATTTATTCAATTCAGTATATTGTGTTGGATTAGCAAAAAATAAGGACTTAAATTGTCAGTTATCAGCAAAATTAGGGCTTTATTGCATAGGAGTCATAAATGAAACTACCAGAAATAAAAGTAGAAAGATTAGATAGTTGTTCTCGAAAATTTTCAATATGAATATATATATATATATATATATATATATATATAAATTCATTTATTTAGAAACACAGTGTAAAATGAAAAAAAAATTTATATATATATATATATATATAAATATATATATATATATATATATATATATATATATTTATATATATATATATAAATATAATTTTTTTTTTCGTTTTACACTGTGTTTCTAAATAAATGAATATATATATATATATATATATATATATATATATATATATATATATATATATATATATATATTTATATATATATAAATATAAATTTATTTTTCGTTTTACACTGTGTTTCTAAATAAATGAATATATATATATATATATATATATATATATATATATATATATATATATACATATATATATATATATATATATATATATATATATATATATATATATATATATATATATATATATATATATATATAATATAAATATATATATATATATATGTATATATATATATATATATATATATATATATATATATATTTATATATATATATATATATATATATATATATATATATATATATATATATATATATATATATATATATATATATATATATATAAATATATATATATATATATATATATATTCTATTTTTTATCTATGCATCCACTCACAATTAATTTATTTATAAATATAGCGTTTATTAGAAAAAACAAAACGATAAAAGATTTTTCTAATCTGCTATTCCTTAAAACTAGGTTGCTTTAAAAACCAATGCTTTGTCCCAAAATCAAACATTTATGCTTGCTGCATATTACATAAAGAAATGCATAAGCCCGGCTATAGTTAATTATGGTAAGTTTTAAAAATTTTGTAATTGTTTCACTATTGTAACTACAAATGATACTAATTTTAAATGGAACAAAGCATTTTATTTTTTTCAAAAATTTTTTCTAAAAACACCTTACCAGGAGGTTTTTAATTTTGTTAAGAGATAAAATATGCAACCTTTTTGTAAATTTGTTTTTTTAGAAAAAGACTAAGGTCGTAGTATAGTATTTAAATAGCTTTAGTTTGCAAGTAACTAAAGACTTGTTTCATTAACAACCAATTGTTTTAGACACAGCCTAATGTAGTTCAACTTGTTGTTAGTTATTTATTGACCAAAACATTGTTTACTTTATTACTACTTAGAGGTGTACTCTTGGTGGTTTTAAGCCACTTAGAGTACACATCTAATTAGTAATAAAGTAAATAAATTAGGTTTTTTTTTTAATACAACTTGCTGGTTTGCAATAAGTTACACTGTATTAAAATTTAGAATTGGTTTACACGCTTCTTAATGTAAATAGTTTCTACAATTTACTTTATAAAGTTATAATAGGTTCCCTCTTTTTTTTAATTATTTTTTTAATCTCTTTTTATCTTTTTTAATCTTTTCTATTAAAGTTTCCTAATTATAGAAAATTGAACCGTTTATAATAAAATTAATGTTTTACTTTTATTATAAAATTAGGATATTTACATTTTTATAATACAGAAATTATAATCTAATAAGACTTTTTAGTAGCCTAAAAATATAGTCTACATTTTTCTTTAGCTACAAACTATTTCCCATTTGAAAAAAAAGTGGAGAATATATTGCTTATAGTTTAACAACTAAATATTGTTTAATTGTCGTAAAACACATAACTTTTTGTTTATGACATTAATCAACAATAATATACAAATTTGTAACTTTTTTTAAATTTTTTCATATTTTTACTATGCTCTTGCAATTAGTACTTTATATAATTTAATAAGGATTATTTAAAGCTAAAATAAACACCTCTCTCTGCTACATCATTTGTGAGTTTGAGAGTTTTAACAAAATCTATCGAAGATTGTAAATTCTTATCAGAGTCCTAAGTTAACGATCAATTTCAAGCTATTTGAAGTGCATATCAAGGACAGTAAAGAACTTGAATGAGTGAGAAGAAATCAGGTCAAGCAGGTAAGTTTTGCTTCTAAAACAATTGGTAAAACAGGCTTCTTAAGTTTGTAAAAATTTAGGTATATTTGGTTATTTTTCATTAAAGCTAAACTTAGCAGAAAACAGACAGAACACAATCATCTCTGATGTTAAATATCAACTATTTCTATTTAGCACAGTCAATGCAGCTTCAACGAGTAGAGGGTCAACTACCATATAGTTGAACAACTTTTAAATCAGATTGTAAATTTAGATTGTTAACAGCTGCAACACAGCCATCAGAGGCAGATAAGAAATGTAAGAAATATAAATAATGCATAAAATCTGCAGAGCATCTTTAAACTGTCTATATTTTTCCCAACTGTATGCAAAATGCCAAAGACTTGTGACTATATATTCTATAAGCACAAAATATAGCTTTTTGGAAAGTGCCAGTTTTCCTTAATACTACTTTTCCTGTTAGGTTTCTAAGAATAATCAATCCACATTCTGACATGTTTTTGTTGTCATTTCTTATAGTCATTTTATTTCTTTTTTCTTTTCTTATAAGAAGTTTTTTATAAAAAAAAAAAAAACATTTTCACACACTTAAACATTATCAAGTATTTTGATTTCTGCATTTGCATCAGTCGTATAGCTTCCCTAAGAATCTCATATATTGTCAAAGCACTTATATTTTGGCATAAGGGTTGTTTTCAAATAACTGATACCAAGCATCCTTGACTATGACCTTAGATAGATGGACCTGCAGGCTACAAAGGTGAGTGTAGTGCCCCTAAAACTAGAACAACAGCCTAATGTTTTGATACATCTAACATTTCCTTCATCACCTTCCCATCCGAGTGAATAGCATCAAACTGAGGTTCAGTTGTACAAACTCATTGATAACTTGCTCCAATAATCATTATTGATTTTTCCTTCTGCACCTTTCGAAACTTAAATAAGTAAAAGTTAAACCAATGAGATCATTTTTATCATTATTAAGACCTAGCCAGTCTTAATGATTGTAGAGACCAAAACTACTACTTTTTGGCTTGATATTTTGTTTGAAATAGATGTAAAACTTGGGTCTTGAGTTCCAAGTATTTATGGAACTCAAGCACAACAGTTTCAAATTTTCGTGGTTTTATGGTCTTCATAACCCTGTTTCCAAAGCTTAGGCCTCTTTTAGTGTTAATCTGCAAAAAATTGCAAATATATAATATATATATTAAGTTTTATACCATAACGGCAATTAAAAATTAAACGTTATTATTACAATAAGAATAGCGGAGGTGTTGAGGTTGTTTCTAACAAATTGTATAAAAATTTGACGTTTATAATTTACGTTTAACCTCCAATATAAAATTAGGAAAGGTGAAAATATTTGCGCCTACACTCCAAAATTATTTCGCTCATTATATTTTGTAGGTTTTCTCTATTGTATAATAAAATTTCATACTTTTCATTCAAAGAGAGATTGCAAATTTTTGATACTGGATTGTTTGATAATTTTCCATTTTACAAAAGATATAAAGTTTTTCTAATTTATTTGACATACTTCCTTAGATAATTTCGTATAATTCCTATACCTAATTGCATTAAAAGATTTCAAATGGTATGGCATACCAAAGTTTAAAAGTTGTTTACTGACAATTTTAATTGCAAACAAAATAATGATTTTGCTGCTCTCAGCGCACGCGGTTTAAAATAATTTCTTCAAGCCACTTAGGAGCAATTAGCGTTTCGTATTTGCAATAATGACTTTAGAGTTATTATTGCAAATACGTTATTTTTATAGGTTAATCATCGGAGATTTGGATAAATTTAATTACCATTTATTTAATTAATTTAAATTTAAATATTTTATGGAGCCTGTGATCAACTGGAAAGTGGCCGTCAATGAAATTCAAAAAACATTTGCCTATTTTAGGTACAACAAGTACTCTGAGAAAAAGATTGTACGAAATTATATTGCGTTTATGATTGTTATGTGCAGGTTTTACTGTGCCCAGTTTTACTGTACTGGTTTACTCTACCCAGATTTTTTCAAAGCTTCTTAATAAGGAGGAAAACTTTAAAAATAGCTTCACTTGAAGATACGGTTGACAATCTTAGTTCAATTAACCTAGGATTGCTTTTTTTCTAAACACCCACCTTGGTGGGTGATTAGAATTCGTATGTGCATTATTAGAATATTCCTTATTCTTTGCGGCATTGAAGCAATACCGCAAAGAATAAAGGCATTCAATAAATACTTAAAACTAGCAATTTAACAAAACTTCAAACTTTTCTGATTTTATCTAGTATAAAGACCATTCAAAATAGTCTGTAGAATTTGTGATTAGTTCACAAAGAGGAGATTCACAATTTTGAGCCTTATTTTAAAACACCACGTTTTCATTGTGACTTTTTTGAGATCTGATAATGAAATCGTGTTCACATTAGAAACTTCTGCTTTCAATTTCAACCATTTTTTAAATGGGGTTTAAATCAGACAAAGTATCTGGTCACAGGACAAAAACATAATAGCTTTTTTCTGCAACCATGTTTAGTAACTCAATAACTCAAATTTTTCGATAAATTCTCTAAGATCTGTCAAATATTTTCAATAAAAAGACCTTGAGGTTCACCGCGGAGATCTTTATACTGTGTTTTGATATTAATATATATATATATATATATATATATATATATATATATATATATATATATATATATATATATATATATATATATATATATATATATATATATATATATATATATATATATATATAATAATGAAGTTATAGTAGTAATTGTTTTGTACATTAAGTTTATGCATTTTGAGAAAAAAAATTATTTCTATGTAATTATAAATACATATATAAAAAGTTCTAAATATGGTTCCTTAGAAAAAAGTTTTTATAACTTAACTAAGACATTTTATAATTTAAAGAATTTAATTTTTACTCGAATTATATATTAAATTACCAATAAAGTAATTTAAAATAAAACAAAACTATTCAAAAAAAAAAAAAAAAAAAGTAATCGCACAGTTAAATTTAAGTGCCCCCATTTATCAATGAACTTGTTTTTAACAAGAACTCCTTTTTTGTATCACATTTTTAATTTTGTTAATTTAGGATGCAGAAGTCATAGTCTAAACTATTTTAATATTTTTTTTTTTGCTATTGTGCAAAAAAATTAAAAATTTTTTTGCACACAGAAACTAATACGATGTTGATTGATTGTAACGGTAATAACTATTGGTTATCATTGTTATCGGATTAAAATGAGTAAACAAGTATTAAATCAAAAAGTTTTAGATGTTTCTTTTTACAAAATTGAATTTCAAAAACACACCAACGTTGGCCCAGCGTCTGCCCAATGCTTCTTGTAACATTGGCTCAGCGTTGGAATCCAACGTTGGGCCGATTCCGTGATGACTGCCGGACCTACATTGGCCCAATACAGTTTAGCCAGCATTATTCCGACGATATATTTTAAGAACGATATGCTTTAGTGAATTACAAAGTAATTGTTATCATAAAATTACTTATATTTGATATTCTTTAATATATTAAAATGGTTGCAATCGCAATCGGCATTTGATTAAAGCCATTTAAATTGTTTTATTCAAATACAAGCTGACTTGATCCTAAAAGGTATTACACACCTTTCAAAAGGTATTGCAATCAAATGTGTTTGTGAATTCGTTTAAGGTAAACTTATTTTTATAGTTATCAAAACTCTTTTGTGGTGGAAAAAAAAGATATTCAATTAAATAAAATGCATATCAGATAATATTTAAACTGTTGTACTCTAATTGAGACAATATTGCAGCCATCTCCATCGTTACCGTCTTTGTCCCAAAGTTCTAAATGGCATACGTAATCAATCCTCGCACCATCTGACTTTT